CAGGCAACGAGGAGTAGGAAGGTTTTGGACGGCATTGGTACGATCCTTCCCGACAGAAATACCTTCAGCCGAAATAATATGTCCCAAATACTCGATGGACTTGGGGCCAAACGAAATCTTCGAAGGTTTCAATGTCAGACCTGCTGCTTGGAGAGCTACGAACATGCTCTCCAAAGACTTCATATGATTCTCGAAAGTTGCTGAAAGCACACAGAAATCATCCATGTAAATCAACAGTTCGGGAATATGACCTAACGTTTTATGGGCCATCTCAGTAAAAATCCATGGGGCATTACAAACACCAAACGGCATCCGCTTGTAACAGTACTTGCCAGAGTTGGTGACAAAGGCTGTCCTTTCGACGTGGTCAGGATGAACAGGAATCTGCCAGTACGCTGACTGGACGTCTGCAACGCTGATGAACTTGGCGCTGCCGACAGAGTCAAGGTTGGACTCCATGTTCGCTAGAGGCCAGGTCTTGCGAATGAGGTGCTTGTTGACAGTGCTTCGGAAATCGACACAAAAACGAGTTTACCATCTTTACGCGCGACGAGAGTAACGGGGGAACCCCACTGACTAGGCAGCTCTTCGATGATGTCATCGTCAAGCATGTCCTTAACGCACGTTTGGATAACGGCTTCAGTGTGCGGGTTTGCGCGGTAGGGACGACGGTTAACCGGTTTTGTGTTAGGCGGCATAGGAAACGTGGCTTGAGCAGTTGTGCATTTACCAAGCTCCTTACGATTCAGCGAAAAAACGGGACGATATTTTGCGCACAGGTCCAAAATACGAGTCTGCTGTTCCTTAGTGAACGTGGAATTTGCGAACGCTTTCGACAGCGGTTCTACCAGCTCAGCTTTAGCAGCAGCAATTTCACTCGCGGTTTTTGGAGACAAGGCAACAGCATGGACGTGAAGCTGTTCCTGTGCTACCATAGTAATCGGCGATAAAGTTCCAATATCCAATCCAACATATTCGACGAGATACTCAGATGATGGATTCGCAATTTGGACAACTACCGAACCATCAACAGCACTCCATGTTGAGACGGTACGAGCCACGATTAAACGCTCAAATTCGGGCGGAACAGTATCGAACGAAAGTTCATCTGCCGACAAAATACGCGGCTCGACTACTACGGCGGTATCAACGGACGGTATGCATTCAGTAAATGCTTTTACGATCATCGCATGACGAGGGCGAATATTATAACGTTGACGTAATTTGACTGAGTGTTCTTCCGCATTTCGATGAACGGCTGCAACACGGGGGGACGGCGACGGATCATAACCGTGTTGAGATTTTTTACGATGAATAGCGGGGACAATAGTGTCACTACACTCAAAAGTCAAACGTTCATTTTTCCAGTCAAGTACTGCCCCAAACCGAGTCATTGCCTCATTGTCCAGGAGTATTTGATCAGGACCGAGCGATGGTACGACCAACGCATCGATTCGGCGGGACACGTCTCCCAACCGAACAACGAACGAAATAAATCCTGAAACTTTGACTGGTGCACCATTTGCGGCACTGGTCTTAGGGACGGAGACGGTATTGGCTCTAAAAGAGCAAACGATACGATGGGTCAACCCATTTTGCCACAGAGCTACTCTGTCATGCAATTCCAAGCGGTACGACTACCATCACGCTCGACGGCAGCTTGCAACCGTGCCATGACAGTACGGAACCGGAGAGCATACGAGGAAACAGATTCCTGTGGCCTTGAACGAACGTTACGAGATGGTGTGCCTCCCCCTCAACGGAATTTGCGGCAAGAAGTGAATTAAGCAAAACAGAACACATGGCATCTTCCTCCGGTTCTGTGAACGTGCTTGCCTTAGAACAGTCTATCTGTCCAGACAAGATCTGCTGTATCAGGGTCAACACTTCTCCTGTTCCCACCAGGGCAACGTGCTTGAGTGCAACCCCATCAGCAAACGACGAATCCATGTTGACGGCTGCGGCTTTCAGCCCAACCACCGTACGAAAATGTTTCAAGATTTCGATCACGTTTTCTGTACGGTCTCCAGTCAGCTTGGGAACGCTGCGGAGGTCAGCCGCGGATATTGAAACGGTAGCTGCTTGTAGAAACGTACGAACGGGGGATTCGGTCGCTACAGCAGTCGATGCCACCTGTGACATTGAAGTAACAGGTGGTGTGACGACGGACGATTGCGCATTCATAGATGCAACCTGTGCTGTTGTAGTAACAGGTGACGCTACGATGGACGATTGCGCACTAGTAGGTGCAACTTGCAATGTTGAACTAGCTGTAGTTGCACTACTAGACGTACACGACACCGAAGTAGACGTGTTTACGGGCGCAGTGAGCGACGGACTCGGCGAGGGATTTGATCCACTCGTTGCCTGCGCGGACGGAACGAACGATGGTGCTCCAGGGGACAACGGTGTCAGCCTGGGCAACGACGGAGCTAAAAACGGAACGCTTGAACTTACCGCTGGAGTTGAAGTTGCACTCGCTCCACGAGACGAGGCTCCACGAGACGACGTATCTGACGCTGTTGCGACAGACGATGAGGCGGGCACCGACTCCGTCAGGAGTCGCTGCTGCCATGCAATGGTAGCTGGCGACAGCTCCGGAGGAGTCCGCCTGTGCCTCTACGCTCGGAGGTAAGCCTTCACCTCCTCCCTGCACGTTGCCTCCAGCAACTGCAAGGACGACAATCGATCCACACCATCATCATCATCCGATGAACGGTGCGACCGATTCCCTTCGTCTTCCGACAAAGAGGACGACGACGACGATGGAGACGGCGACGACAGGCCGGTGGGGGACGGTAGGACGTGTTGTTCTTCGTCCTCCCCTTCGGGCTCGAAGTCGACGAGCTGCTGTTGGTCCCCCTCCTCTTCCAGGAAGTAGACCTCTTGTTTTTTTCTCGATTTTTTTTTCTGTTCCCCATGATGGCCACTCCTGCAAGGTAGTGCCACCACCGAACAAAGAACTCAACAAACACACGTAACGCCGCTGACGCCACTATGAGACTGTTGTCTCCAGGTTCGCGTGTGAGCAAGTTCCCTTAGGGATGGGCGGTGTGGATACACACCGGATCAACCTCTGGTGGAGAGGCTGATGTACGGAACGTTGAGTCGAGTGTGTGTGAGGCAGGTGGGGATCAACCTTGTGTTGAAGCAAGGTTCAGCATCCAACCTGCACTGACTCTATCTGTGGTAACACCCCGAAGGTAGATCTCCGACAGGTCATCTGACGTCACAATCTACGACAGTCTGAGGTGGCATTCACAATCAACTTATTTTTTGTGTGTGATGTATGGGGGCATGTGCGGCGCGGGGGAACATATTTACCGTGTTGTGTAATGGCATGTCGTTACATGTGAGAAGGGCACGGGAGAACATTATCTCATCATTACCTCCTGACGTGGCCGCCGATAGAGGCGTGTGGTTGGGGTTTCATCACTGACATGTGGGTGTGTGTGTGTTAAATGCAGTGGGTACGGTCGCCTCTCTCGCCCGTGTGTCGGCAGAAGGTATAGCTACCTTTCCCATTTATTTGTAGGCAGCGCGGACCATAAGTAAAGACAGAGTGTATAATTTCATGCATCTGCATCATTTGTATGTGGCAAGAGAGGAATGAGAGGTTGTTCTAGCTTATATGCAGTTTTGACGGTGTGTGTATGGGTAGGGGGAGTACTCCCTGTGTCCGTGTTGTTCCCAGATGTTGTCGCATCAAGTGGCAGCGTGTGTCATGGACAGGTAGACGTGGAAGGGCGGCGACAGGTGAACGGCAGCAGCAGTATGTTGTGCATGGTGGCATGTTGGGCCTGTACAAAGACGCAGTCCATCTTCGACCGCACACGAAGGAGTTTGTTCGTACCTGTCGGAGTTTTGGAGGGCCCAAGTCAGTCTCAAGCAGCAGTAGGAAGGAGCGAACAGGCGCAGTGCTTCTCCACAGCTTTAGAACCGTCCTCCTCAAATCCTAACGGAGATGATTACGTATCGCAAAACGGCTGGATCCGAATTGCCGGCTAGCTCCGAAAACCAGGAGAGGTGGGGGAGTAGCTCAGACGAATGGCTGCGTGTGCGCTCCTTCATGTGCATTCTTGGCTGACTCTTTGAAGGGTAGAATTCTGGTTCAGCTGAATTTGGCGGCAATTCGGCATTGCCAGTATTTGCCATTGTCACCTGGATGCATGGGAATTTTGGCGAGGAAGTCGGTCATAAGTTTCTCACTCTACTAGCAAGGGACACGTTTCATTTTCAGTGTTCCGCCTTGCGGTTTCGATGTTCAAATATGCGGTTGCCCACACATCTTTGCATCGCTACATTCATCGTGATATGGTAGGCACATTTTTTTCGTTGACAGGTTAGATGTAAACGTAAGAATGTGTAATGTTGGCGTTGAATTCCGCGTTGTTGTTGTTGCATCAATTATTTCATTAACCATGTCGCACAGTTAGTTCTGATAATACATAATACAGTATTACTTTCACATTCCATTTCACAGGTTGGCCATCTCCCATCCGATGCTAAGACCATATATTTTCTCTCCAACACGGAGTTCTTATCATCTATACGCTTCCAGATACCCGTATCAACTCTAAGCCAGTGCGAATTTCTGACTGTGGGTACATTTATTTTTTTTCTCCCATCATTGGACTCTGTCGTCCGCCCCTCTGGCCACTATCCTCCACTTCTACTAGCTAGACGACCCAACGGGGGTCACACAGGATGGGAGGGTTGGACCCCCTCCTGCGGTTCCTGCCTGAGGTATTTAGTCGCAAGAAGGGTACAGCAATCCCTTCCCTCGCGACTTACGAAGTCGATTATGGTTTACTAACAACGAGCTTTGCAGCGCGTCGCTTTCATCCTAGACCAGGATTTATTTAGTGAGAAAAAAACTCACTCTGCCAGGACTCGAACCCACGACTTGGCCCTTAGCAGGCTGCGAGGTTACCCACTAGACCACCGGGGCGACCGATGTGTACATGCACGTTCCTAATGTTCATAGTATCCGGCCATGTACGAAAAAACGTAAACGAGAAATATTGCAAAGTTTTACGAGTAAGTCTAGAAGAATAGAAACGTGCAAGTATGTCGTCCATAAGTCTCGCCGTTGCTGCCTGAAAAAATCGAACATCAGTACATCTTATAGCAAATCGGCACATTTGACAATGTAGACATTTTACAACTAGTAGACAATAATGTCCCCGTGGAGGAACGCCCGATATTGCTGCAACGTAGCCATATGTTGGCGCTTTTTACACTTTCAAATATGCGTCTTACCTGGAATATCCTGCCCAATTTGCATATCCAGAAAATGTGCGGACTCCCCACACTGTTCTCGAGTAATACGAACCGGGTTTTCTATCTCGTTTCCATCCGTGTCTAAAACCGTTACCGGGTACATACCACCATATTTACCACCGTCCTTACAAATATTGTCTTCAAACATTGGCCCACTCTGGTTACCATTATCGTACAGTGAAAATGTCGTCTATGTACCTATTTGTACCAATACTAAATTGTTCTATAAATTCGAAAGGGTAAAGAGGTGCAATTCCGGCAGTCTTGGCTACTAGATACTCATCTACCATTTCGTTTACAAACTGGAATTCATGCATAAATGCAAAAATGTTCGCTAGGCCTGGGGCCGGAGCCGTTCCCATAAAGATTCCGGAGGCTTGTTGGTACATGCCATTCCCAAATTGTACAAACCCTTCATCTAGAATACATTCGACCCATGTACAGATCCGTTCCCAGCCCACAGAGTGTTCACCGCCTACATTATTATTTACATTACGCGGGATTTACTTCGACCATGACACTTCTCTAACAACTGGTGTCTTTCATCAGCTGCGGTTCCCCATCTTATTAACATGGACCTTTTGTAGTTTTGACCAAGGCTTGGACTGTTATTGTTGTTCCTGTTTGTTGCGCTAGAATGGCCTCTGTGTAGGTTTTAGTGCTGGGGCTCCTAACCGATCTCACCGCATGGTGCTCAACTTCTTGGATGTTGAAGTTTCGAGGCTGTATCAGCTGCTTGGATGCCAAGTAATTAAGGTGCGGGCGCTATTTAACTGTACAGCAGTACACCGACACAGTACGTGAAGGGCGGCTGTGGCCGACTACTGTACGTCATGATGGCGCCACTGCCGTTTCGCTCTGTACAAAACATGCTCTCTGAACGATAGCGGTTAGCTGTAGCCTGCACCCGATTGCATGCGCGGCTGAGGTGGCAGTGGTGCCCTTGCCCGAGAAGTCTTACCTGTAGTGTCTCACATGGGACAGGACAACTATGGACATGGCTATGCGGGTGCGCGATGCTCTCTTGTCGAAGTATCCAGATTCAAGATTCAAGAGCACAGCCTTGCCAACCTTTACGGGAGGTCTGCATTTTGTTGGAAACCACAGAATCAGGTGGAAATTCCCAGGCCAGCAGAGAAACAGCTGCGATTTTGACATCAACCCTTTCTGGTCGGAAAAGGAGAAACACTGGCTTTGACACGACGGACCACCAACGAACTGACGGTTGGTTCCTTTCTACCCCACCAACAGCGGCTACGCCGTGGGATCGGAAAGGATACACACGCACACACCTACCTGCTCTGGATTGAGCAGCACCACATCGTCACTTGTACATGAGATCATGCAGCAGGATCGATACCGTCATCTCTTACTCTGCTTGCGTGCCCTTTTTATCCCCTGAGAAACGGTATCCTCTTTTAGATCATCTCCATCAAATGCTCTCCACATGGTCCTGGCTCGTGGACACGTTGTTGTCAATTGGTGGATGTTTCGTGTATTCAAGATCAACAGAGAGTCGACACACACGTCCAACATCTGATCTGTATCATCACGATACATGTGGCGACACCTACCTACACACCAACACACGAGTGCACGGGCGCGGTGCAAACAAACATGAAAGTCGCAATTGGTGGCGCGCCCGCGCAACAACGCCTGCACAACGAGCTCAAACCCGTATCCCAGCCAAAAATTTCCCGCTGGGATTTAATATTCTATGGCCTCGACATCGCAGCGGGCAAGACAATTCCGGGGTATTTGCGATTTGCAATCCCAGGTTTTTCTGCAAAACAACAGTACCATGAGGATGTGGTAGTCTATATGTCCTATCGGCCTCACTGCAAACCCAAGTCTCAGGAGCTGCAGACTTTCCATTTGAATTGGTCTTTACAGTGCATATGAGGCACCTGTACGTAGTCAATCTTTCCATTTGAATTGGTCTTTACAGTGAATATGAGGCACCTGTACGTAGTCAATCAAGTAACTAGAGCAGTGTAATACATTGTAGTGAGCCGCGGAGCCCGAAGCGCGACATTTAATCCCTTCGTCCCCAGGAGGGAAAAAAAAACTCTGTATATCGGCCAAAGTTACGCCGCGCGATACAGGTTGCGCCGCTCTACTTGCTGTCTTCGCAACAGCCGTGCCCTGCCTGCTTTTGCTGCTGGTGGGTCCCTCGCATCAAAGTCATGACCGTCATCGGCTTTGTTGTGTTTGGTTCATGCTGTAGATTCAATATGTAGCTGCTTGCTTTCACTTGGCGTGAGACGAATGTGGCGGGAAAGTTGTGAGCCAGACGCAATATTTACCGTCGTGTCACGATCCGATGTCTAAGCTGCTGGTCGTGCTCCTCGACGGTGTGATGTGTGATACGCTCGCCGCCAGGTACATGCCGCATGCGTGCCTCTTCCAGACGCCCAGATGTGCGTGTTTGCGTCCGCACAGCGGGAAGACTTCACATTTTTTTGCTTCGTGGGGTGTGTTACATGTGCATCAACGGAAAAAAAACAACCTCATGTAGAGTGCAAAATTTTGAACGGAGGTCGCACATGCAGCCGTCGTCGCGCCCGTCGCACCCACCCCTGTCCCTCTGGTACACGCGTAGTAGCTGCACCACAAACGATTCGCGTAGCTGTGTATGAGTCGGGATTCGTGAACCATGAGCATCGCAGATAAGACTACTGCAAGGAATTTAGTCGCTACCACGCGGCTCATAACCCCTCCCTAGCAATAATATTGGTTCGTGTGCCATGCAGCCAAGAAAAAGAATGCGTTCGGCGACACGAAGGGCGTTTATCTTGTTTTGTGTGTCCTAGGCTTCCGGGCTTCAGTAGTTACGCGTTATGCCCACTAGTTGTTCCTCCAAATGGCATGTGGAGAAGATGGAGGCAATATCGCAAACGGAGAATAAAGAAGAGAGCTGCGTCGGAGGCGGGTATACCGCACCACGGCAATAACCAATATTTTGCGGGGGAACAAAAGCACCGAAGAAGTATGGGGGGGGTCGTTTGTTTTTGGCTTTCTTTTGGCGGTGATGCAATTACTGGTTCGTTGTTGACGTTTTTTTCGGAGAATCAACACCCTCAATTTTTGTTGTCAATCGTTGGCGTTGATACATCTGCGATTCTGGGACTCTTTGTCTCTCTCCCCGTAAGTGGTCGTAGCAGCGACGACTGCTTGTTGGTGTTCTGCTCCTGCACTCATAGTGGTAGCCAGCCTCCCACCTTGGCTTCGTCACCCCTGCTCTTCGGGCAATGCCTGTACTCATTGGCGTCATTTCAATGGACACCCTTCCCACTTTGCGGGATTAGCCACACCTGCCCTCCGGAAACAGCCAATGCCACGAGAAAGTTACCAAAAATGGCCAACTTACACACAGCATTCGACGTTCTAGCCAGAGGACCCTGGGGCTCGCTCTGCCGTAAGTTTTTCGGCTGACGTTTTTTTTTTTTTTTCTCCCGGAGGCACGCCGCCCCCTCCCAATTTTCGTCGAAGGCATCTCTAACACTGTTTTGGAGCTGGGCCACGCGGGAAGGTATTGCGCTAGATAGCACTCCAAGGGAACAGTCGACGGGCAACCGAAGTAAGGAGCGAACACGGCGGATGTACAGTGTACCGAAACGATATAAGTGACAGTTAGTGGCGGCGAAGTGCATTTCCGGGAAGCCTCTCCGCCCCATCCAGAGCTTTGTGCGCCTGCGAGAACGCCTCGTCGCAACCCAATAGGCGCTCCGCGACGAAACCCCCGGCCCGTGCTCCTGGCTTGCGCCGTGACGAACTCCGGATAATGCTACAACAATTCTTATTAATTTGTTCGATTCGCGTTGTTGCTCAATCGTCACCTCCCGCTTGCCCAGCCTGGCACTGCGGGGTCCCGCAGGTGTCGTTCGGCAGCAGCCGCCGTCGCACTTGTAGCGGCACTGTTGCCTTTCGATCGGGCGCGTGTCCAGGCAACGGCTCCGGGGGCCAGCCCGAAGGGACGACAGGGGGCGGGGGCGGCGAAGCGGCACAAGGGTAGCCGAAAGCGGTCGAGCGGCGGCGACGGCGGGGGCGGCGGCGGGGGCGGGGGCGGTCGTCCAGAACGCGCGAGGTTTAACGGGACGCGTTACGATAATGACACCGACGCAGGCGCCGCCGGTGCGGAGGACACCGACGGCACCGCGGAGGTCGATGTAGCCGTCGTGCGGAGTGACCGAACGCATGATGGTGCCGGGAGGGGGAGCGACGAGGTGGAGGCGGGAACGGAGCGTCGGGGGGAAAGTGAGGGAGGCGCGACGGCGGAGGCGGAAGCGGGACCGGAGGCGGTGATGATGAAGAAGACGCGAGGCGCCCCGAAGCACTCCTCGAACAGCCGAGAAGCGACGCAGCGGCGAGAAGTGGCGCGGAATAGCCAAGACGAGAAGCCCGACAACGATGATGACGACAATGAAACTCCTAGGGAAGAAGGCGGGGGGAGCGGGGGCAACCGGCACGAGACGAATGCCCCGAAGGAGAGGGCGCAAGAGAGCGGTGCCGATGGCAGCGGCGGTGACGGCCAGCCCGGGAATATCAGCGGCAACGTCGGCGCCGCTGCCGTGGGGGCCGCGCTGGCGGAGCTTCGGGAAACCGACGAGCGGGAGGGGGGGAAAGCCGAAGTTGTCGTTGCTGTTGGCGCCGATGACGCCAATGAGGACCAGGAGGTGGAGGAGGAGGAGGAGGCTGTGGAGGAGTGCAAGGCTATCGGCCCGTGCGTGTGGTGCGAGAAGGATGAGGTCAGCCTGGAGTACTGCAAGGAGACGGGCCGGCGGGAGGAGGTGAATGGGGATGACGTGACGATGTTGAGGTTTGAAACCAGGGGGCCGGTGGCGTTTGAGATTGCAGGCAGAGTGTTTTTTGTTTTATTTTGTGCGCGCGGATTTGACCTTGTGACACAACCGGGCTGGCCAGGACGGATACCGTAATGATGCGAGGGTTGGCACAGGTGTGCGATTGGCCTTGTACATATTTCGACCTGAATTATTTTTCCCTACAGGGGTGCGATCACTCTCTCAGTTCCTGTGCCATCTCTCCGGCCCCTACGCGAAATCGACGTAAATATTGTGGTGCTTCTCTTATTAGCGCACACGCGATGTGTGCGACATGTGCGATACTGGCGTAGGTAATGTTGATGACACTAGTGCTTGGAACGCATACGCGTGTGCGATCTCACGATAACGAACAAAACTTTTGCACGGGCAATATTGGTCGGCCGCTTTGCGCAGCCATTGCGACCGATAATGCCCTCTTTTTCCCTCTTGGTTCCCCCGATCCATTGCCCTTCAACCTTCCCGCACGCTCCCCCCCCCCCGCCCGGCCTTTGGCGCTGCTTTGGCGACACAGGTGCGGTGTACTGTCCAGGGCGCGGCACAGAACATGGCCGCGGGAGTCGCGGGGGGGGCGGTCGGCGTGCTGCCGAGTTCGGTCAAGTACCGTTCTTGCCCTTACGCAGAGGAGGACGAGTTCCTGGGGCTCTTGCACTTCTGGGTGTGTGCCGCCCGACGGTGTACTGCTGTAGCACGGATAAAGTCGTGTTTTTTTCCCCGCCCCTGCGGCGCCGCTAGTGCGCGCCGGGTGTTTCGTGTTTTTATTTAGTTAGAATCGCACCGGCTGTGTGTGTTTTGTGTTTCTACATTAGCATCGACCGCGCCAATGAAAAGTGACGTCAGTCTTGTAGCGGGATAAAAAACACAAACAGTTTGCATTCCAGGCTAACGGTTCTACCGACAGGGGGGACGCAAGGGTTGGACGACAGCATTGTCTTGCTTCTGCTCCATTGTCTCGTTCTCCCATGCTAGCATCAACGCCGTGTACCGAGTGGCCTTCTATTCGAATGTGTTTGTGTATTTGTGTTGGTTGACAGGTTCGTGGTTCTTTGCACGGGACGTATTACCATCGGGTGTACGCCGTCGTTCATGCTCTACTGTAGCATGAAGAGAACCGGGGTATCTGCCCCCCCCCCCCCCCCCCCCCCCCCCCCCCCCCCCCCCCCCCNCCCCCCGTGTCACCCTTTCTGCGTACTGTAGGTGCCGAAGACTTTGCGCACGTGTCCCGGTTCGTTGTGGGCCTCCATATTCAAAGCGTTGCAGTTTGAGTCAAGAACACGCCGGCTCATCCACCGAGGCCATTCAAATTTTCGCACACAGGCAGTGACGTTGCTGGTGGTGTCGGCCGCCGTTAAGTTGTAACTCTCTCGTCTGGTATGTTTACGCATGCAGCTGATTAATTCCGCTTTTCTTGCGCCTGTTCGCCCGCGCCTTTCCTGCTCCCCGTTGCCCTTTTTTGTTTTTTGCGTCCGGCGATAGATCTTCATGGTGGCGGTGGGAGTTTCGGCGTGTTTCTGTTTGAGAAAACGGCAGCAAAAGGGCGGCTCGCTGTACAGCCGGCGGGCCAAGTGACGGAGGTTGCGCCCCAGCCCATCGTCTCGGTCGGGTGGAGATGTAACCCGCGTTGACCGCCTGCATCCGGCCGTGTTCGCCGCCGGCATGGACGGTGACTCCGCGATGCCAATCTCTCCAAGGCGGTTTCACGCGATACGGAACGTCACTGCTTTCGTGCTTGTATCACCACTTGTATCTCGGCGAGCGGTGGCGCCGAGGGTGCGGATGAACCTCAGACCGGCGCTCTTCACGGTAGTCCTTGTAGAGAGTCGGTTGCAGGCGGGGCGTTTCACTTTTCCTCTAGGTTATTGCGGCGTTCGCCACTACCGTATATGACACAAGATAACACACCCCCTTGACCGATTTTCACAGCTCGATTTCTCAACAGCAGGAAGAGTCACAGCGCCGAAAATGGCGGCGTTGGAACCGTCTCGTCGAGGGCATTCCGAAAATGTATCGTTTCGTTGGTTCATCCTCTTCGTCGTGGAGTAGTCGAGCTTTGAAAATCGGTCTAGGGGGTGTGTTGTCTTGTGTCATACACGGTATCTTGCTGTGTGGTGTGCCTCTGGCCGGGTTGTAGTGTCGCTGTGCTCTCGCCGGTGTTCGTTCGTCTTTTCTCCAGCCGGCGCGTGCACAAACTGGAAATTCAGATCTTTCGGGCTTGAAAGCGTGTCGCGTGCACTGCGATCTGTCCGACTTGGCGGGTAGGTAAGTTGTTGCTGGCTCATCGAGCAACACTGGGATGCGATGGGCTAGGATCCAGGGGGCGCACTGTTCTCCACGGAAAGCGGTAGGAACGTTGTGTCTACGTACGTGTGGTATTATTTGAAAGTGTATCCACTGCTTTTCCTTCCGGTCCACTAGCAGTGCGATCCATATCTAATGCGGTATTGTCTTAGTTTGCGGGTGCCTTCAAAAGGGACGAGTACGTGGGAGAGGCGAGAAGCAGCAGCAGCAGCAGCAGCATGCGCGCATTTATTTATGGCCTGATATCTTCTGAGTGTAGTTTTTGAACGATTTTGACGAGATGGTGGTTCTACAGTATGGCGCCGGTTGGGTTGGTAAATGGACGCAAGCACGTTCAGGCCGGTCTTCGATGGTGATACATGCGTGGAGGCTGCCGCTTGGCCGTTGTATACTCTAGTCTGTGGAGATAGTCGTCTCAGAGAGAATGTGCATTTGTTTGTGCCGAACACCTTGTTTGTGTTATCCCCTTTCGAATCACTGATGACCGTGGCATTTGATCCGCGTTCTAGGCGCCTCTTTGGCGGCTTCGGAGTGGATCGGTTCCCCTCATTTGCCCAGGTTCAGAATTTCTGAGCTTGCGGCGAGTGGGCGTATGCGGAACCTCCCCAGCCTACACATTGTGGTGCATGCCTGCAGTGACGTGTTGGCGTTCGCGTGACATTTCAGAATGGTTGATTTCGAAGCATGTATTGACGTCCTACTTCTGTGCGCGTTTCATGAAGTTTTCGGAGTTTTGTTCCTGGCCTATTTGATAACCGTGGCAAGCTTTGTCAGACTCTACAGCAGAGGTGTTGTTCCGGTCGTTGTGACCGCGACGTATGTTCACTGAATAGAACCATCACAAAGTACGATTATTGCCAGTATGCATGCTTGAAGGGGTGCCCCGTGAGTCTCTTCTTGTGTGAATACAGCACAAGTGTTTAATTCGTCGTATTTAAATCCCTCCCCGGGGGGGATTTCGTAGAATCCCCCCCCTGTCTAGACACCCCACCACCGGCTGCTTCCCACAAGGCAACAATCGCCGCAGGACATTCGCGATGGGTTTTCAGCGCGTTCTCTCTGCAGCTTCGTCATAACTACACCTACACCTGGCACCTGTTGTTGTGAACGATTCATGGATCGTTCACTTATGTCGTTCTTTTCAAAATGCAAAAGGCAGCGGTGGCGTATTCCTCCGTCGAAACAGCTTCTTTCTCCTCATCATCCCTCTACTCCTGTATTCACACAAAACACCACAGGTTTGCAATGTTGGCAAGATTCGGTCAACTCTGCGGCGAGAATCGGCTGGTTTTTCGTCTCACAGCGAAACACCAACTTCACTACAAAATGAAAATGTAGCAGGCCTTCATGAACACACAAAAGCAAGGGGTTAATGCGCACTGTCTCAAGATGTGTTGTATGTATTACACATATGGGCGACACATGGGAGGGATCGAGGCGGGTGGAACGTGGAACCGTGAATCCACCGCAGTTCGTTGTTACGGTTCGGGACAGGGGCGGCGGCGGGATCTGTTTGCCCTCGCCACTCGCAGCAATCCAGCAATGCGAAATGCGACATCCTTGACCAGTGAGAGAACACAGAGAGAGCACCTTTCATGGCTTGGCGGCCAGGACCTCGGTCCTCGCTGGGGCTCGGGGCGTCCGACTACGATGAGAGAGACCCATGGATACAGCGATTCATTTCCAAGACTGACGATGGCGAGCTATCGCTTGACGTGAATGTGAGCTCAAGGCGAAGTACTTTAGTTTACACCCCTCTCAGCTGCTGCAGACTACTGGTTTACGTATTTGTGTAGTACCGCACACAACCGTGTGGTTTCACAACGTCAAGAGTTAAGCGTACGCTTTCCGGCAAGGTCCATATGGATGTTCTTGGAAGTTGTGCACCACGCGTCCACATGTATGGTCTGGCCTACAGAGTGAACATGATGGCAGTAGCACTTGGGTGGCGTAAACAGCAGTACCGCGCGTCCGCAAAGACACCTTGGTACATACTGCTGTACTGTCTTCTAGCTGGTAGAAGTGGAGGATAGGGGCCAGAGGGGCAGACGACAGAGTCCAATGATGGGAGGAAAAAAAAAAAATACTGAAGTACGATTTATGGCACGAGCCAGCCGTTACTGACACTCATCCCTCTTCTGCTACTACAGCAGTAGCGGCTACGGTTTAAGACAAGTATGGATTTAAGAGAGAGGAATTGGCTTGTACCAATCAAAATCGATTTAAGAGAAATTTCCTATTGCAGCTGGGATTTTTCTCTTAAATCGAACAATATGGAAACCACGTGGACACACACCCACATCACACACCCACACAGCTGCAGACACCATGCCCTGCGCGGCGGGCAGTCGCTGCACGGCTGTCCCCGATCACACGCCAGGCCCGCCGGCGTTCACAAATCACCAATGTAGAGGAGTCTGCGGGCAGTACCTCCATGGCACCTGTGGGGTGGTGGACCCTCAGGGGTAGCGTTGGTTTCTTGGGTTTGTGTTATTTGTACGGCGAGTGATGTTTTGATATTGTGAAGCTCTTTTTTTTTCGTTGACCTGTGTTTTTGTCGGGGGTTTAAATCGATGGGATGAAAGGTATGAGGGTGTTATGTTGAGTTTACGGTGGGAGGAAGGGGTGCATTGTATAAACGGCTGCGTCGTTCTTGAGTGCTGGTGCATTCGTTGCCTCGTGTTGTCCTTCTAGAAGAGGTGCGACTATGAAACACAGCTATAGAACAACTCAACCAAAAACCTTGTACGTGTCCACGTGCAAAATGTGCATCGCATCACACAACGATGATTTATTTTCCGAACGCAGATCCACCAAAAGCGTACCACGTACAGCAGTACTTGGGTCCACGTGCTTGCCAACCAAGAGAATGAGCGGTGTTGGGAGGTAGCCCGACGTGGTAACGCTAGCTGCGCAAGTGACATGCATGATACGCTCTCTTCATGACCTATTTTGCCATTCGAGTGTAGTCAGTGCGCGAGAGTCCCTGTTTCACGACCTTTAGTTTTGTCTACGACATAAGAGAATATTCTCTTATAGTGAGATACTGTTTAAGAGAATTCTCTCTTATACCGTAGCCAACACGATATAACAGAAAGCCGGATCTAAGAGAGTGAAATTGGCTTGTACCGACCCTCTCTTAAACCGTAGCCGCTACTGTACCGGCAAATGCAAACGGGATACCATATCCTTGCCAACACTGACTCCGAAACCAAACGTCGGTTATTCTGGCTTCAACGCTCTCAGTGCTGCTCACATCGTACGCTTGGCCGTAGTTGGTATTATTAGTCTACGGCGCAGCAGCTCGAGCTATTACAATATCGTTTGATTGCGTACACCCGTGGTGGAGTTATTAAAACCCACTACTGCATTCGGTATTACAGGCGATGTACACGAGATTCGAGTAGACTATTATTGTTTGGCACACCTGGACGAGAAATATTCACTGAGAACTGAGAACCTGTTATCCGTCGGGGCAAAAGCCAGTGCCTGAGAACCAGCATGGTGCAAAAGGCTTTATCATTGCCAGCTGAAATATTCACGAAAACATATTCCAGGGTCGATTGTGGATGCCTATGAGAGAAATTCGACATACTTGGCGTTCTCCCAGACCCCAACATCCAGGCAACATCGCAAGGGCACGTGAGCTGTGAGGCGTTAGCCGATCTGCTCATGTGTCACCCCAGACTCGCTGCTGTATATTGAACCCACCAAATGGCGAGGAACTGAAAATTGCGAGGGCACATCATTTCCCCCTAGAAAATCGTCAAACTTGTACAGGTATTCTATGTTTCCCTTGCCATACTGTGTTTCCACGACCTCTGGTTTGTTGACATGCGCTTTCTTGACAAGCCGACCGTTGGTATGGATACTGTAAGTGTGTTCGAGTACAGTTGCTGGTGCAAGACTCCCTCTTTGAAGTGAAGGCTAGCCCTTTCAAGCATTTTCTCGCCATTTAGAAGTTGCAAAGATACATACACACACAGCAGGGGGGAAGGAGCTGCGCCTTACTTTTGAAGGCAAGCAAGCAAGAGGAAAGTTGCATCGAAAAGACATTCATTCGTGGCTCCGACATAAAAAGGGTGGTGTAACTAGACCCTCAACCATATGTAGGAGCTACGCTGTGTACCAGAAAAACAACCTGTTTTGGGTACAACCTTCTTCCTAGGGCGACCCCTGCTGGTGAGTCAGAGACACCCGAGAGGTGCAGACTGGCGCTCAAGATAGATGAGATGAGTTCACAACACGAGCATACTGGTGGATGAGATAGCGATAAGCGTCGGTCTGGCGTACAACGAATAGCCACGTCCTTGCGCGCGCGTGGAGAAAGAAAGCTACCCCATTGCTGTCCAACACCCAAAAATAACGCTTGAAGACGACAGCCCATGAAAAACGGGCGCATCTCCCTCCCTCTCTCTCTCTCTCTCTCTCTCTCTGTGTGTGTGTGTGTGTGTGTCTGCCGCTCTCTCTTTGCAGTCAATGTACAGAGGTCAAACCCTAGGTGCTGTTATCTGCACTCATTTGTCGTTTTCGGGTAATCACGCGGATTGAGCGCGGAATGAGAGATTCAGCGTCATATACGCCTGCATTCGTCTCTCGAACCGGGCTCCTTCTGTTATTTTCCACTTGAAAATACTGTTCTTCATCGACGTCTCTGAATCCAATGAAAAGCACAGCTCGTGTTGCCAGAAGTTATTTTTTCTCTCGATAGCAGCAGCATTCTACAGCAATCCCACCTGTATTCGAAGAGATCTACCGGTGGGTTCTATGCCTTCAACGTTTCTCCTCGAAGCATCAATTACGAACGATAGCGCCGAATGGGTGCCGTCCGCTCTCAGCTGAAGGCGAGTGTCGTGTGGTTGAGCGATATGATGGTGTACAGCGGCAGGATTCATGACAATATCGTATCCTTGAACAGTACTCCTTGATCGATTTTAGCCGCGAAACAGAGGGCGTGGTGTGAGCACGGTGCAAGTTGCGTGTGCCACGTGCAGGAGTTTGTTCATAACGAAAGAGGAAAAATTGATTGCACCACTTAGCCGCACTCATCAAGACCTGCTTGATTGCTCCCCCCCCCCTCCGCTCGAGCAGCGCTCCAGAGGGCTACAAGTACATGTCATGGCCCCTCCACCATATATTATTCAACGTCCTCACGATAGTATTGCACCCACGAGTCATACGGAAGAAAAATAGTGAAGTTTACCCCGTTCCGGCACGTGTTTCGCAGGCGATGAACGGGCTCGAGACCGCCGCCGGGGCGATCTTCGTCGAGTTAATTCGACAGCAGGCAGAACGTCCGGTGTCCCCGGCCGACTCTACAATATCCTCTTGGATGCCAGGGCAGGACATGGGCCGCCAGCGTCAGCGCCATCCGGCCGCAATGAGGGTACGGGCCCCAGCTTTTTGTCGGGTAGAGCCAACGTTCGACAATCGATCACCATCCGTAGTGTGACATGCAGCTGTCCACTTGGCATGCTGACCAATGCTTGAGCAAAACCCACGGAAGAATGTTGTGTGCAGTGTTGGCACCGTGTGCTTTCTTCGTACTTCTGTACCTCTTTGCCTGGGAAGGTGACAAACACACCTTCGCCTTGCTAGTTCGTGTTTCGGCCGTGTCGATGACATTGCAAGCTGTGTTGCCATTGAGGTGAAGACTTGACCAACCACGGCGAAGGTCGGTGCCGCGCGTAGAACATACATTTTCATGTTTCGCCGTATGTCCCATACATGCAGTGAAGTTGTGAACGGGGTGAACGGCCCTATGCTGCGAGTTACCCTACTACCGTTCGGGTGCGTTCTTCCTATGCATCTTTCGCATGATTATCTGCAAATTTCCGACTCCATGCTGCAATCACGTGTCCCTCTCTATCTAATGCCATACATGTTTTCACGATACATAGGTGGACCCCCCGATGGCGCAGTACGAGCCCTTCCGGCGGACGTACGTGAGCGACCCTTCGTGCGTCCCACAGCTGCGATTCGCCAACGTCCCCGACGCCGGCGCTGACCACGACAAGCGGGAGGCAAGCCGCCACTGGCGCCGTTCCGGTAGGACGTGGTCCAGGGTCCCTCGATTTCGCAAAGGTATGGCTGCATGAAAGTGGCAAGATGAACTATTTTCCCGCAGAACGTACACTTTTGTATCGCATGGGTGAGGCTGGAGCGAGCTCATCAGGGTAGTTATGACCTCCGCGTTCGGCATGAGGTACGCCTCAAGTAGTTGCCACCGGACAAAACCGTGATTTGCGTGCGGTAAGAGTGCATGTGTTCGCTCGCCCCCAAAGGGTGACTTCCAAGGCTCGATTGCTCCACAACCAAGCGGTTGCTGCAAAAGCTTACCGATACGTTCAAGACAAGCTCTCGGCGAGATCTTTCTGGACCACCCTTTTCAGCTTGCAGCTTCTTGTCTGTGGTCCAATCGGGCTCCATGTATATCAGTCCAGCGGGTGTGCGATGGTTCGCATTCAACTGCACCGTCTTCCACACCACCCAGCCCAAGTGATTGAATGAGCCTTGAGCGGACACCACCCGGTTTGTGCGCATGGCGTGCGAGGGAGCCAAGAATGTCGCAGAAGAGAGCGCAAAGCGTGTGCATGCGTGCATCGGGGCGACCGACGTCGTAGCGATATTTTCGCTGTGTAGGCAGACTTTACACCTGCAGGAAAGCATTATTTTCTCGACGAGAGGGGAAACAACACCCATCCATGTGGAAAGCACCGAAACGTCGAACGACGAACGTTCAAAGCCAGGCAGAATACCGCACGTGCTCGCCCGGAGGCGACCAGCCGATGGAGGCACGACCACGTGCAAGGTTTCACGCACCACCTCATCTAGTCTAGTATCGTTTTCGGGACGCGCAGGCGAAACGGCCTTCACGCACGACCCGACCTACAAGCCGCCGCACGCTGTCGTGGACAAGTGGTACATGACCGAAGCCGGACCCAAGGTCTCGCTGGCGGGTCGCGTGGAGGAGTCGAGGTGGCAGTCGTGCCACTCGATGCAATCCGGCAGAGAACCGCGGAAGCCGACGAGGTCCCGGTTGCCTCAGGACCAGCAGGTGAAGCCGAGGCCGCCGGGGCCAGCGTCCTACCACATGCGCGATCCCTGGGAAGTGCGGGTGAGCGGAGAAGTCCTTGTTGCAGGCGTGAACCGAGCGGCATGTGGCTTCGGTTACTCAATTGTTCCGGAACTAACGGGCAGGCGTTGGGGGGCAGAGCTGACAGCGAAAAACGAACCAAGCGATCTTTTTTGGGGGGGGCTAGGGTATGGAAGACCAGCAGGCTGGAAATTCGTTGCACCCACGCAAAGATGCGCCTATTGCTTGATTTGTAGAGAACCAAAAATAGACGTTGCTATCCTGTCGCGCCTGCATTTGGCTGGGCGCGGAAAGTTTTCAATGAGCAATTGGACCTTCATTTTATTATGTATTTCAGTATTGTTCCCACTCCTGTGGAAATCAAACGCAGGACAACATTTAGGAAGAATATTCCGGCTCAACATGCCCATCGACGGTTCCTGTTGTTGCTATGTTTTACTCTCAATGATGATTTTAGTGCGTGGTTGCCAACTCCACGTAGAACGCTGACACCTCAGGCGTGCGCTCAAGCTGTCGATGTGGTTTCGAACGATGACGCCCGCGTCGTTGTGTGCATACGTGCTTTGGAAGACACCCCTATCGACCAGAATAACGGTTGCGCGCCCTGATTTTATTTGTCTGTGTTGTACCTTTGGTCGACCCTTTACCGACGCCCACTATCATGGATGGACTTCGAGTGGACGCGTGCTCTCACCAACGCCCCGCCCGAACGCTCACTCCCATGTCTTTATGGAACCAACAGGAAGTGTGTGGAGCCGTCCCGAATTCAAGAGTGTTCTGCAAACCGGTCCGTCGGGTCCTACCGCAGACCTCGGCCTTCACCGTTGCGCCCAGCGGCAGCTGCGACATGTCGGTGGACACTTCGGCCGCTCCACCCCCGCCCGCCGCCGCCGCCCCCGCCGCCGCCGCCCCCGCCGCCGCCGCCGCCGGCGATGACGAAAACTCCGCCTTCAGATTAGACGAACCCCAGGCCCGGCCAGCGACGGCAGGGGTCGCCGCCACGGTCTCAAGCGCAACAGCTTCAACGGGGTCGGCACGTGATCTACCGTTGCACTCTCGAAGAGTCTCGCGAACACAAAAACGCAGCGCTAGGTTCGGAGGCGGGGTTGGACGCCCAGGCACCAAGACCTCCCCCGGCCGACATCAATCCGGTATTAACCTACTACCGCACGCCGCCGCCGCCGTGCGGGCGGCTCGAGCGAGGCCGACGGCGGCGGTCGGCCCGTCGTCCTTCGCGCGAGCGGAGAGGCCCCACATTGCCGACGAGGGCAGGCGAAAGGAGGAGAGCTACGGGAAGAAGGTCGTCCGCCTGCTGACGGGTGACGGGGATGTCCTGGTGACCGTAACCCGGCGGCGCGCGAGCGCGTGGGGAGACGTGGACCCCCCTCCCGACAGTGCCGCGGGGTCGTCGAAGAGCGGGGCCGTAGTAGCGGGGCCTAGAGCGGCCATCACAATCGACCGCGAGCGGCAAGCCGGGGGGGACGAGAACGGGCGGCGGCGGGCGGCGGCGGCGGCGGCGGCGGGGGCGGCGGGGTGGGGGCGTAACGCTTCCGGAGGCCGGAAAACGTCAGGCGGTGGGAGCGGTTGGGATGCGCTCCCCAACACGAACGCGATACGAAAACGACAGCCTACAGCACATGGGGTCCACCCGCCCGCAACGAGAGAGAGCTCCCTGGAGTCGCGGGCCAGAGGGCTTCTCCCAGACGACGTTATGGCGTCGCCTCCGGTTTACCGGGAGCCCGGCAAGTCCGAGCTACCGGTGATATTCCGAGCGACCTCGGCGCCCATCGTCAGAGCCGTCCCGAGCTTGAGACCAGCGGAGCGCCTGAGGTGGGGCAGAGCGGCGGCCCCCGCCAACCAACGGGGTGCAATTTCGAGCCCGGACGGCAACGAGAGCCGCAACGCGGTATCCCTGGAAGAGGGCGGGTGGCGCCAGGAGCTGGGCGAGGAAGGAGCAGCGCACATGGCCCGAGCGGTCCGCTCTGCGGGAAACATCGTGGCCAAGTCTAGCGGTCGGAGTTTTAGTGGCGGCGGTGGTGGTGGTGACGTTGAGCCTTCGAAGAGTGGCGTAAGGACTAGGATCCCAGCTCCCTCCGGCCAAGACTCGGGGCAGAATCTTGCCGGCGGGGATGATAGCGCGGAGATGCCGCAAACAGGACTGAATGACGGCTCTTGCGACTTCGTGAGCTCGACGATATGGTCGGGCGGGGAAACCGCAGAAGTGTCTGCTCCTGTGGAAGCGAGATAGAACGTAGGCTGCTGTGCGCCTCCTCAAAGCGGAGTCTTGCTTTCATAGCAGTAATGAAACAGGACAAGTGGCGGCGCTCCCGGACGCAATCGAAAGCGTTTCGCAAGGTATAGTCCACTCTCGGATCGGGCGAGTCGAGGGTGGCACGAGATTACGCTGATAAGCTTGACCGGGTCCTGTGCTCGCAACGTCTATGTGGTTACATTTTCGGGTGGAGAGCTGTGTGCATATGAGCGAATTCGAAAAAGCTCTCTGCAACGTGTTGCTAGCTAGGTTGATTAAGGAACGTGCATGCGCATTGTGAGCTCTCACCTTGTTCTTACCGAGACTCAGGGTCTTTTTTGAACTGATCTTGCAAGGCCGGTTGTATTTTGGTCCGGCAGTCATGACGGTGGACGAAAATGGTGATTGGGAACCGAACCATGCCGTTGGCTCTACACACACTCTTGTCCGGGGACCATACGAGGAGAAGCATTTCTTCTCGTTCGCGCAGCACTGCTGCTTTTGACGCAGTTGAAGTTGGAGTAGCTATTGCAGGGACGCCACAACAGACGGCTACAACGGTACCGGAACTCCGACACGGCCCGAGAAGAGTCGTGTTCTTGCCCTCGCGTGGGACGCGAGGAGAAAAATCCGGGGGAACTAGCTCCTAACGTTCAAGTGGGTGACCAGCGAAACAAACGCCTCGTTGGAACATATTCCTTGCGAACTTCGCTTGTCTGATCCGCGCCATCGTTCGGCGTCGAATGAGGGCGACAAAGATGTGTGGCTGGCGCATGCCTGCACCCCGGCTTCAACCTTGGCGCCAGAACTCGTCTCCGGCTATCAGCCATCAGGAAACGAATCACCTTCTTTTCCTGTGTCCATCGGCCTAGCAAATCTGGAATGCCAAAACGGGAGCTTCCTTTCGGATGCAGATTACTGCAATATCGCCGGCGAGCGTTTTTCCCGTCCTTCGCCTCCCACAAGTTCGTCGCCGTTTCGATTTTTCGATTCGTCGACAAGCCGTGCTCGCAGGGGCTGACAAGATTTACCAATGTTGTGAGACACTTGACATCCATGTGTTGTGCAACAAACAAACAAGTGCTAGTGTCGGAGGAGCGATGTTGTGGACAGCCATGTAGACTATCATGGAATTTTCACTTCAAGTCCTATTCCTCCTACAGAACGTAGCACTACGGTCCCTGCTGCTGCGCAAAGGTTAAGTCATTTCGGAATGACGTGAGGCCCGCGTTTCTGTACACAACGCTGTTGAGTATTCTGCTGCTAACAGTCGAAACGGACCGCACTCTAGACTATTGCCAAACCGCGTCCTTCTCGTGCCAGGAGGATGTGAAGCAGAAGATTACTATTTAGATTCACACTCGGTCATGTAAAGCGGTTCTTCCCAAAACCAACCATCTCTTTCGGATCAACTTGACACCTTGGGATACGTCAACTCACAACGTACGGGAGAGAGTGTAGCACAACACAAACACCAAAGCGATCTATCCCGAAGAAAAAGGACCCGTCCAAAAAACACATCGTTGCAATGTGCTGTACCCAGGGCATTGATCTAGCCGTGGTACCAAATATCAAGGTTTCTTCGACGACCACCATTGGCGCCATGCCCGTCATGTCTTCATATTCAGACCCAAAATACAAACCAGCATTGTTCAATACCCAATGGGGGTGACTCCTCACTCCTTTCGTCTCCTTTCGTTCACCCCCCCTGAGCTCTTCGAATCGCCCGCCGTGGCAGCATTGGTAACGTTGAAGCGTTCATCCACCACCAGGCCAAACAAATCATGCGGTAACCCTGCCCTCGCCAGCTGGTCGGCGCTCAACGTTTCCCCACGGATTCTAACCTCTACGGCCGCCTCGCTAGGCCCAGACCCACGATGCGTGTGACTCAATATCTGCCCGGCGCTCCTAGGATCCTTCTTGCTCTCCCACCCATATTCATGTTCTTCCTCCGCCTCTTCCTCGACTTCCTCGAGTTCTGAGCCATCTAGTTCAGGGTCCGAAACTGTCACCAGAGGGTGTTCGGGTCTCCTTTTAGCCACACGAGACTGGGGGTGGTACTCTGCGGCGTCTCCTGCGAGGAGAGAGGCATCCGACGTGTCGTCGAACAGAAGGGGGCCGAGCTCTCGGGGTAGCCCGTCCGCCAGGCGAAAGGGCACTGCGTTGGTTACTACCGCACGCGTCGCGCGATGTGAAGACGACTTAGCCTCCTCGTGGCCGTTAACTCTCGTAGCGTGTCGCTGCTTCCGTTCCGGCGGTGCTGCAGGCTCTTCTCCCCCTTTCTTGTCCCCCTTCTCGTGCGGGAGGACGAAAAGGTCAAACGCCACCGAATCGAATCCCAGCTTTAACGAAGAATCCCTCCGCCCGGCCGCCCGTGCATCGATCTTCCAGCAACCCTTCGAGGACAAGCTTGACCTGTAGCCCCACATCCCGCCATCTGCTGCTGCTGCTGCTGCGGAGCCTTCCTCGTTCTCCCGGCCAATCTGTCGAACTCCGGTGTCCCCCGCCTCCGCGACGGAGGACGACGGGGACTGCTCTCCGTCACCGCCTGCCCCGTCTCCGGGGATCTCGCGTGCGGTGCTGACGGCATTGGTGGTGGCTCGACTAGCGCTGGTCGCCCTGTTGGCGGGAACGGAAGCTCGTGCGCCCTGCTCGTCTTCAAGCGCCGCCTTGAGGAGGTCGCCGTTCTCCAGGAACGGCCCCAGAATGTCCGCAATGAGTTGGTTTGTCTTTCTCCTTTCCGCCTTCATGTTGATATTTTTTCGAACGATGATTAAGGGCGACGCCCACAGGGATGAAATGTTCAGATACTCAGTCACAAGTACGTTGAACCTCTTGCTGCGTGGAAGCAAATAGGACCCAATGGTTTTCATCTTATTACCCCCATCGGCCCCCGGCGGATGCGCAGGGGAATAAGGCACGTGCGGCGGATCCCCACCTTCGCAATCAGTCTTTCGGAGACACAATTGCTTCCCTAACCCCCGAAAAAAAAATGAATCTGTGACGGTCACGTCTCCCAATGCCGTACCGCCGATGAGTTTGGGCGTGGACAATGCAATAATCAGATGTCTCACACTCGCTCACCAGATTTTCCCAAAATACAAAGGGTGACGCCTGCGACACCGCCACGAGACTACCGCGGTGCACCAGGGCGATGAATCTGTGTGAAGCAAGTGCCCACGGAGGAAATACCTGTATCTATTCGCCGCAACGGGAATGGGTGACGTAGCGCAGGAGGAGAGGTGGTGAGGACGAGAATGAAAAAGGATGACGTAATAATCATACCTAACCCAAAAAATCTGTACGTGGCCTTAGCCCACCGCCGACTGCTGGTTTGGACGGGTCGAGAGGGAAGTTTTCGGCTTGAGCGGCTTGGTCGTTGATCGAGGCGAAGTGCGACCTTATCAAATACCATACATCGAATTTGTTCATACTGTTTTTCTTGAGGTAAATACCACCGCAGCAGTTCGGAACTTTGATGATTGACTGATAGAATCGCGGCGAAAAGCACCGAAGAAGCTCGGCTCGAGGGTATGCGTCAAAGGGTGCACGTAAGAACTCTATTGAACGACTGTTGCATGCGATCTGCTGGAGGAGCTGAGACACCGTCGCGCGAAAAGCTTGCAGAGTGTGCTGGTGGTTCTCCTGGTCCCACAACAGTGTGAATAGCCCGCAAAAAGGAAACACAAAGTATTCCGACAAGCACCAATAGAAGACTACACCTTCAAGGCAGATATGCTGCTCAACGTTCCGAAAATTCTGCTGGGAAACAAACTTTGCCACAGTAAAACATTGCCGACGAGGACGGTCCAACAGACGACCCATGCAGGGTACATAATGACATCTAGTCACCACCGAGGGAGCAAAGTCTTGGCACCCAGTTGCGCTTACCCCTAGACCGAAAGGGGACGAAGATTGTTTTCCCCAGGCCTTCTCGTTGCGGCCTAACCTTGAAGCCTCGTGGATGCAGCCGAGCACTCGCTTCCTCTGGAGAAGAGAGGCCACCGCCTCGGACGCGTCTTCGTGCAAGGAGTCTTGCAGCAATCTCTATCCATCATGTCGGCCGCGCCGGGTCCGGCAAAATCCGAGTGTGTGTGGGAGGAGGAGTTGAAATCAGGAAGTGTGGAGCTTGAAGAGGCATCGAAATCGACCCCATGGGTGTACCTACTTTGGTCAGGGCCTATTGTTGTGGAGGACTCTGTAGAGGGGTTACTGGTCGATGTATTGCAGCGGGGAAAACATCACCTTGCACCCGGGACGGCGTCTCCTCGATGGTGTTGGAACAATCGAACAGCGGCAACGACGCCCTAGCACCTAAGATGCAGAGGGCCGTTCACCACGGATACATCCGAACACCTCGATGCTTGAACGTGCCCACCACGGCTGCGTTCCCTCTCAAATCACCTGCTCGAATGCTGCAAGGTTTTCGTTGGTCGTGGGTACCGAGAGCTTGGCTTCTCTCCTGCCTGCAGACTTCCCGCGACCCTCTCGGCTGCCTGACCTGGGCGTTCGTCTAGCACTCACGCCGACTCCGCGGTTCGGCGAAGTCTTTGGTGATTTCCCTTTGTCGTTCGTGCGCTCAGCGCGTAATCGAGCTGCTTCTTCTTGTTCGCGCACCTACTTCGAGCACCGGTGGATGGTACGGACGCATCGAGGGTGCCATTTAGACACGGGAGACCATGTCCACTTGAGCGGTTAATGTATTCCGTCGCTTGAGAGTTTGTCGGGCGTTGAACGTTTACTCCGTCGAAACGAGCCTGCCCTGTACGCGTGGAGGCTGGCAAAACGTAGACATGGGGGGCAACTTCGTTTTAGCGATAAGATACGGAGAACACCACGGTCGTGCTGGATGCCGTGATTGAGTGGAAGCTCCTACCAACTCAACGAGTCGGGAGGACGCCGTCAAAGAATGATGAGTTTGGATGGCCCACTAAGGTTAAGTCGAGACTTGTAGCGAGAGGTGATATGCAGAGAGAGTACATTGACTTTGGAGAGTTGTACGCGCCTACCGTTTCTGTTTCATGTGTTAGGATGTTGGCTGCTTTGGCGTGCGAGTTAAACCTCGACTTGTGTCATTTCGATATTGAGCAAGCTTTTGTTCATTCGGAGTTGGAGGATTACGTGTACATGCGTTTGCCGCAGGGATGTGGAGCTCTATCTGGAATGATTGTAAAAGTAGGCAAAAGTCTGTATGGCTTGAGACAGGCATCTAGGCGGTGGCATGCAATGCTGAAGAGGTGTTTGGTAGAGTTAGGTTTTGAGCAGTGCATGGGCGATGCTTGTGTGTTTCGTTTGATTGAAAATGGATGTGTTGTTTTGATTTTGGTAGTACATGTAGATGACATTTTTGCTGTGGGAGAGAGGGAGAGATGTGATAAGTTTGGCGCCGACCTTAACAAGTCCGTGCCAGTGAAGAACCTGGGAGAGTTGAGATGGTATTCTGGGTGCTTTTACGAGAGGAACAAGGAGACCGGTAGGTTGACGATTTCTCAGCAGACTTAAACGGATGAGCTAGCAGCAGAATATGGAGTAGTGGGAGGTAAGAGCGTTCCGATATCTTCGGGGGTGAAGCTTTCTGATTTTGATGCGGATGAGGTGGCGACAGACTTTCCGTTTCGTGAGCTGGTAAGATCGTTGATGTGGCTGGCGACTCAGACTAGGCCAGAAATTGCGAATGCAGTAAGGGCAGTAGCTAGGTATTGCGCATCTCCGATGGATATTTTAGGCTATGCGAGGAGGACGAGTCACTTTGGTATTTCGTTTCAGAGAGGTACGGTGGAGGGATTAAGCTTGCAGGGGTACGCTGATGCGGACTTTGCAAGCAAGGCAGCAGACCGTAGGTCGGTATCAGGGGGGATCGTGACGTGTGGAGGAGGCGCTGTGTCTTGGTTTTCCAGAACGCAGAAGTGTGTCACGCTTTCGACCACAGAAGCAGAGTACGTCGCCCTAGGTGACGTAGTGAAGGAGTGTTTTTGAGGCAGATTTGGCGTTTCATGTTGCCGCAGGTCGGCATGCCGTGCATCTCCATCTTCGAGGACAATCAGGGGGCGATTCAACTAGCGCAGAACCCCATCTCAAACTCGAACTCGAAGCACATAGATGTAAGGCACCATTTTCTCAGGGAACTGGTAGAGAGGAAGGAAATTTCGGTCATCCACGTGCCGTCGCCGTACCAGCGTGCAGAATTTCTTACTACGAAGAGTTTGTCGAAGGATGCTTTCGAATCCCACCGTGATTTTGTGATGAATTTGGCATGAACATTTTATTGTTTTTTTGATGGGTTTGTGTATTGGTCTTGTTCTGTTTCCCGTTTTGTTTCATTTCCCGCGCCAAGCATTTGTTAAGCGCAATGCAGCATTCATATTTCATTTAATTGTTTTTCTCTCTTATATTTTTCTGGTCAAGTCTTCATGGCATATATTCTGGGAAAGACGTCTTTTGGTTGAAATATCGGGTGTTAGCGAAGTTTTCAGTGAGAAACTGTTGCGAGCAGGGGGGATGTTAGATATACTCGCAGCAGTATCTGGTCGTGGGGATCCCAGGGGGACACGTGTTGGAAATTTCGTGTGTTGAAGGGTACCACCGGCGCAGTCACGGGGACCCTTTGAGCGTGGTCGGTGCGATGATGAGGAAGGCTTACGTGCGTGCTGTGCACTTCCTCTTCTTCTTCTTCTTCTTCTTCCCTCTCTCTCTCCACCACCACCACCGTCTCTCTCCACCACCACCACCGTCTCTCTCCACCACCACCACCGTCTCTCTCCACCACCACCACCGTCTCTCTCCACCACCACCACCGTCTCTCTCCACCACCACCACCGTCTCTCTCCACCACCACCACCGTCTCTCTCCACCACCACCACCGTCTCTCTCCACCACCACCACCGTCTCTCTCCACCACCACCACCGTCTCTCTCCACCACCACCACCGTCTCTCTCCACCACCACCACCGTCTCTCTCCACCACCACCACCGTCTCTCTCCACCACCACCACCGTCTCTCTCCACCACCACCACCGTCTCTCTCCACCACCACCACCGTCTCTCTCCACCACCACCACCGTCTCTCTCCACCACCACCACCGTCTCTCTCCACCACCACCACCGTCTCTCTCCACCACCACCACCGTCTCTCTCCACCACCACCACCGTCTCTCTCCACCACCACCACCGTCTCTCTCCACCACCACCACCGTCTCTCTCCACCACCACCACCGTCTCTCTCCACCACCACCACCGTCTCTCTCCACCACCACCACCGTCTCTCTCCACCACCACCACCGTCTCTCTCCACCACCACCACCGTCTCTCTCCACCACCACCACCGTCTCTCTCCACCACCACCACCGTCTCTCTCCACCACCACCACCGTCTCTCTCCACCACCACCACCGTCTCTCTCCACCACCACCACCGTCTCTCTCCACCACCACCACCGTCTCTCTCCACCACCACCACCGTCTCTCTCCACCACCACCACCGTCTCTCTCCACCACCACCACCGTCTCTCTCCACCACCACCACCGTCTCTCTCCACCACCACCACCGTCTCTCTCCACCACCACCACCGTCTCTCTCCACCACCACCACCGTCTCTCTCCACCACCACCACCGTCTCTCTCCACCACCACCACCGTCTCTCTCCACCACCACCACCGTCTCTCTCCACCACCACCACCGTCTCTCTCCACCACCACCACCGTCTCTCTCCACCACCACCACCGTCTCTCTCCACCACCACCACCGTCTCTCTCCACCACCACCACCGTCTCTCTCCACCACCACCACCGTCTCTCTCCACCACCACCACCGTCTCTCTCCACCACCACCACCGTCTCTCTCCACCACCACCACCGTCTCTCTCCACCACCACCACCGTCTCTCTCCACCACCACCACCGTCTCTCTCCACCACCACCACCGTCTCTCTCCACCACCACCACCGTCTCTCTCCACCACCACCACCGTCTCTCTCCACCACCACCACCGTCTCTCTCCACCACCACCACCGTCTCTCTCCAATCAAGTTTCGTTCTCCCACCCTCTCTCCAACTCTCTCTCAACCTCTCTCTCTCGGCCTAACACGGCCGACTACCCAGTGCCCCAAAGCAACGTCCAGAACGTGCTTGCTGCACCCCGCGTAGTTTACCTTTCACTGTGCACCTCGAGCAATGCGTGTAGAGTGTGTTGGAAATGGGTGATCCGCTCGAGAACCGGCGGCGGACCAGCGAACTTCCCTTTTTCGTAGCAATAACCCTGAAGCCCCCAAAAACATCCCCGGCCGCCCCGTGAAACGGTTGGCTCATGACTTCGTAGCTTCCTTCGAACAGTTTCCGTGGCCAGATGCTGGAAAAAACAAAACCCGTCCTACCTGAGTATCGATGCGGTGCCACGCAGATATGATCTCTGTCACGACGGCCTCCCGTGCTCCGTCCCAGGGCTCCCCTCCTCGGGGATGCAACACCTTGACGGAGATAGCAAGGGGTTCACTACGCGCCCCGCCCGCCCGCCGTTCGGGTGTGAACGAACATGGTTTTGGCGCATAGGCCAACGCCAAAGGGTGGTCACATCAAAACAAGTCAACATGGCACTGGCAGAAGTCACAGTCGTTATCCCCACCGTTGTACAAGGTTTCGGCGACATTGTGCGTTTTTACTCGTGTTCGTGTTTGTCGCGATTCGGAGTGTGTCTTCGGTACTGAGTCGCATGAGCTGGTGCGCTTTGACGGACCAAGTCCACACGAAGGCGCGACCCTTGGATGCCCAACAGAAAAAAACGCGTTACCTGTCAGTACCGAAGCAGCTGAGCGCTGCGTCCTCGAGGGACGCCATCGCACGCTCGACCAACTTCACCACCTCCACCAGTGCAAGCAGCCGCGCCGCGCGGGCGTCACGTCTATTCAGCTCGGCTGAAAAGAAAACAAAAGCAATACGTATGATGGCCGCGCACCACCTTAGTCAAGCTGTCGGCAACACCCTCGTCCGTCATTATCTCCGGCCCGAAAAGAGCTGCGCATTTGTTGGCCACGATACGTACGCTTCCTGCTCTAATAGAAATTTACGTCACTTCGAAGCCCCAAAGTGCGTGCACCTTGGCACGGGCCCCAACGCTAAGACTAGCTTCCTGTATTGATCTACCGCAACCGTGTTTGTTCCCTCAAGCGATTTATCGAGCCCAACTGCTCCGCAACCTGACCTCTCTGATCGTCGAGCAAGGAGTTGGCGAGAGCCAACCGGGCCTCCCGCTTCCGTCCTTCCCCCTCCACCCTTCTCGCGGCCGCCCGTGGGCTGGGCAGACTCTCGTTCTTCAGCAGCGCGGGGGGGTACCACGTCCGAAACAACCCCTCGCCGCCGTCGCCGCCGCCCACAGGCGAACGATATCCGCCGCCGCCGCTGCCGCCACCGGCGTAGCTCGCCCTGCCGGGCCCGGCGGTGGCGGTGGGGGCGCCGGGGACAGCGGCTCGGTGGCTCCACACGTACTGCCACGCTCCCGAGGCCACGTCAAGCTCTCGACGGCAGCCACCCCTGAGGAGAAGCACGCGGGCAAGACGCCGAGCCAACCAACCCCTAACCACGGCCTGCAGTCTAGTCTTCGAGGAGCGAGCGTCGTTGCGCAAGGGGGCAACAAGAAAAGGCAATCAAATACTTCAGTCTATTGGAATCGTGCGGGGTTGTGGCAGTAAAACCCTATTGTGGATTCGACATGGGCCCGGGAATGGTGGCTTGTTGACTGCTCTGTACAGTTGGCCGCCTTACTGTAGGGATAGTGCTTGGATGGCATGCTGATATGATTGCGTGGCACTTGGTGAGTTGAACGCTGTTGATCCAGAGATTCGATTACCGGCTGAAATTGCACGCATGGTCCCCTCTATATTTCCCCGCACCATACCAGTCTTTGAGCACTGCCACCGTATGGAGCAAGCGGCATTGAGGATCTCCGCCTACAGTGCCCTTTCATGGAAACATGATACTGACTCACCACAAGAACTCCGGTGCGAGGATGATTACGCCGGTTGGCAAATGCCACCTCTGTTGTCGCCTCCTTGACGATCGCCAACGCCTTCTTTGCACGCTGTGCCGGGTTTTCTTCGGCTAGCACCTACATGCACAAATCAAGAAATAATTAGTCGGGGTACGCAAGCGATTGGATCAAGGACGGGTCGTACAAACGACGCATCCATAAGGGGATGTTCCATGCCAAGCTGCTCCTTTCGAAGCACGAACCTAGCACTCCAAGGCATGGAAAATTGCTGGCCACTTTCCCTCTCCCATCTTGGCGATCCCAATGACAGACACAGCAGTGCTGGATCAAACCTTGCTACAAAGAGTGGAAAACCTGTCCGAGACGGTCAACGAAGAACGAAATTCATTGGCCTCACCTCCTCAGCAAACGCCTTGACGGCCGCAACAGCAGTGTTCGAAAGGGTAAGCATTGCTCCCGGGACAAGCTTCGGCCGTGAGTCCCCCCCGCGCCTTTCAACCTGCCCCCCCCCTTCAATGCCATTGAGAATAGCATCAAAATCGCCTGTGCCCGTCTCATTGTTCGGCTCTAGCTCCCTTGGGCGCTCTGGTCGGGGACCCTACGGCGTTGTTGAATGCAGTCGAAACCAACCGTTTACAGTGAAAGGTGTTACGGACAGGTTGTGTTTGTGGTGAACGTCCAACGCCGATCAGCACTCCCTCCATTCAGCCAAACACTTTGAAAGGTATTCTTCCCTAGGGATTCAGGTGCTCCTTGACGTGCACGTAGTCAGACACAGCAGTTGTACTTGGAAACATGTTTGTGGCGGGATACGTTATGTCGTAGATGAATATGGGAAATATATGGTCTGTGGGACAGTTTGGTCCGGTAAAATGAAGCCCTACAGGAGGCAGTACCGGCGCGGGCATCCAACGAAATGGGGATCAGTCAATGTAGGGTTCTCCCGTGTACCTGCAGCAATGAGCAATTAGCCCAATTCGTTGGATGCCGCATGAGTAGCAAATCACGTCGTGCTCGAGCCCACAACAGTTCGCGCTCAGCTTCCTCTTGCCGCCGGAGGTCCTCAGCCGCCCGTTGCTCTCTCTCGACACTTTTCATAACCTTTGCCGCAAGCTTTGACCTCGCGATATTGCATTTGCATTCATATTCAAGTGGCAGGGACGTTAGGGGAGAGGTGCCACAGGTTGGTGTTCGTATCTTTTGTGGTTCCTGTTTATGCCATGAACCGGGGCTTTGTGCTGCTCGCAGTGGAGGGCAGTTGCAGTATCCCGATTGCCTTTGGGTGGACGTAATGTGTCATCTGCATCATGGATCCCAATCTCTGTCCAAAGCAATGTTCATGAACGCGTACAGGCTAAAGCTAGACTGCGACTGTGTTGCACGTAAGCATGTCGCATTGATTTATACATGTACATGCCTCACATTGCACGTGAGGCATCCTTGGCCATGCCGAGGCGCTCCCTGGCTGTCCCTTGTGTCCCATTGGCTAGAAGGGAAGGTGTGCTGGCAGTCCTTGAGTTGCCGCAGCGCCGGTGTCAGCCCACCCGCCATCAACGCTGACTGCATTGTGTCTTCACACAAAATGGTCGTCGTTGCAACGCTTAAACCGCAAGCAAAACTCGCGCGGCGAGCGCAAAAGTACGTGTCCGATGAGGCATCTTTATACCCAATTTACTTGCCGAATATGTCTTGGGCAAAGCCCCGCAATTTCATGGCCCAAAATCAGGGAACATCTCTGCGCTTCGAGAACGGCGAAATCTAATTAGAATGTAGGTCGAAATCTTTTGAAAATCTTGTTCGTTCTCGGTGATGTCGTCGGATAAACGAAAAAATATCATGGCGGTTACAGATTTTGAAATTCCCCCCGCGCTTTTGGTTCTGCCGTGAACCACGGTGCGACAACAGCTGTGAGCTGTGAGCGACAAGGCCGGGAACAGTTCACCCAGCAGGAAAACGCAACCCGCTTAAGCAAGGCCTCACGAAGTGCCTACTTGAGGCGCCTGCGGTGGTCATGTGAGTGGGGTGGGGTATCGGTGGTGCGGGTTCCATCATCCCCCATGTTTTGGATTGGCGTGTCTGTTGACTCTCTTTACCATGGGCAGGAGACGACATGGACGCAGCTGCTGGCTGTACAGGTAAGGTGGTGCGGCTGAAAGCCATGTCTTCTACGCTCTGGGCAAGGTGGCAACGACAATTTCCCAGGGTTCTGCGTACCATCAGCAAATAAGCAGGGCACAGCGCCGAAGGTAGCGGCGCTGCATCAACTGGTCAACCCCAAAACTGATGGAAGATAGTAGGAGAACAGTCGCATTATAGATAGTAGTGGGTAGTGGGTGTGCCTCTCCTATGATCCAGCTGCCCCTCCAACTTTTGCTACGCTGCTACTGCCCCTGGCGCCCTTGGTTGTGCTCAGGTCTAAATTCGACAAGTTTACGATGGTGGACCCCCTCGGGGCTGACGAGGAGGAGGTGAGAGTCGGGAGGTTGTGATTGCTACGGAGTATGTACGGCCAGGTGATTTCAAATGCGGCTACCGTCTGCCGTCGGTGACACAATATGCCACACCCCTTGGGCCTATTTTTCAAAGCCGATTTACTCCTTACAGCAGTAGATCGACTGGCGCTGCCGAAATTGGCGGCGTTTGAACTGTTTCGTCGAGAGCTTTAAAAAAACGCATCGTTTGATTCTGGAATTCTCTTGGTTGTGGAAAAATCGGGGTTTGAAAAATCGATCCAGGGGGTGTGATATCTTACGTAACTAATGGTATCCTATCATCGTGGGGGAGACAGCGTGACTCGTTGGGTGCCAACTTTTATAAGACGGGCGTGCGCTGTAACCGCCGGACTACCTTTACTACCTGAAGCGTATCTACGAAGTAGGCAACGAGTAGGGATGTTCTACGTGGCGGTCAGCGCCGTGTTGAGGGGGGGGGCGTCTTTTCCACTTCCTTGGTAAGGGTCCCTATAACACAGTAGCGCATCAAAGGCACCGAGCAGCAGTCTGGTGCGCGTGCAAAACCGATTGGTGCACCGCTCGTGGCGTTCGATGCCCTCCTCGTTTTTGTTACTCTCCCACATGTTCGTTACAATGCCTCTCTCGCTCTCTGAAATTATGTTGTCGGACACACGTTAGTTTTTTTTTAGTATTGCACACGTAAACGGAAAATACTACCGGTTAGATATTCTAACGTACCACAGCAGTCGAGGGGGATGTGTTCGATATTCGCTTTTACGTACGAGTAAACCGCGTGTGCGTGAAACCGCCACCGTTCCTGAACGCTCGAAAAACATGAAAACAACGCTTCGCCGGATGGGCGGACGAGAGAAGAAGAGCATGCAGGAGATGGTCGCCAACGAGGTGAATGACCGCATGGGCCGCGCGGTGGGGGAGCTCAAGGACAAGTATGAGAAGGGCGGCAAGGGCTACGACGCCACCTCCGACGCGCAGGTGAAAGGCCACAAAAAACAAAACTTACAAAACAATAAAGAAAGCGCGTTGATTGGTCGACGTTTCGCATGCAGAACGACAGCCTGTACCAGCTCTGCATCCTCCTCCCGGTACTTCTCCAGCTCCACGACGCGGGCTCGCGATGGCGAGGCGACAGCGTGCTTTACCACAATATCTTGTCTCTCTAGGTGTCTTTTGCGTTGCTTCTTTCGTAAGCCCCGTCGATTGGCGGAGTTCGTACCAAGCAGTTTTAATCGCTGATGGCGTTTAAGGGGGGAAGAACGGGAAGTGCTTCAACAACCCCTTCGGAAATGTAAGCACAAACACGGAAAGTCTACCCATTCGAGATTTGACCCCTCTGCACCGCAATAGGCTCGTTTTTTTGTTTTTGCAATCGCCGAACACGCTCGCCCTTCCTCTCGCATGACGACCGCGACTGCGAGAAACGCCAACAGGACCGCGTCTACGACATGCATGCATCTCGCGATCCACCAGAACTCATCCTGCCTCGCTCAGTTCTGACGCCCACCCTCCCACCCTGCTGCCACCAACCTACCCAACCCCCCACCCGACCGTCCCCTCGTTACACGATTTTCTTTTGCAACACGCAACGCGAACGACGAACGTGCTCTCGGTGTGCCGAAGCCCACCGGGGCAGCCTACGCGCAGGCCCGGGAGCAGGAGAAGCAGAGGAAGAAGGCCATCAGGGACCAGAGACGAGCGGCGGAGGTGGCCACGAGGGAGGAAGACGCGGAGCTGGCGGCGCAGATGAAGGCCTCGGCGCGGCTGAACAGGGAGGTGCGAAACAAACAGCACTGCTATTGTGGTAATCATGCGCTGTTTTCGCACCCTAGACATACCCAGATACTTGGCATTGTAGAGACTTTCAAAAGTAAGAAGCGGTTCTCCATGTTTTTGCAGCATTTTTTTTTGTTTCAACGTTGTCCAAAGCGCGGTGCGGACCCGCGCTTGGGTATGGGTTAGGGTAAGGGTTGGGCTGGGTTCGGCCCACCCGTACCCACCCCATTTTGCAGAACACTCCGTCTTGTTTCTGGTATGTTTCTTGTGCCAAGGTCGTGAAGGCCCCCTTGAACAGATAGTCACCGGCAGTGTCGGCGGCGGTAGACCGTGAACGGGGGCACCGGCGACCTGTGATGGAAAATCGCCAAATGGCAGGACGTAGCTGATCTTCACTGATCTTGCCCCCGAGATTCGGGGTCTCTGTTGCTTCATCCCTCGATGGAGCGATTTTTTTTTTTTTGTCCGGTTTCTTGACACTGCTGTGGCCATGCGAGCTGACGACGACTAGCGGAACATGAGGAGCCCTTCGTGCCTTTTTGGAACAGGGATTTGTTCGCGGTATTGTATGGACATCTCACCACTACCACTACTGTATCCCCCGTTCATGTGTCGGAATATGCCCCGAAGACGGGGCGTGGTGTGCTTCTTTTCTTCTTCAGCCGTGCCGCCCGCGACGGAGAAGAAGGGTTCTCCCGCTCCCCGCTTCCATAGCCCGCTGTCCAGTTTCAGATCCCCGCCGCGGCCTCCTTCCCTCTGGCGACGGAGGAATACGTGGACTTTGAAACCGACTCAGTTGCGTTGGACGAAGACGGTCGCCTGTCGCTCTGTCGAGAGCAAGTAGCCTAGCCCCCGAAAGCAACACTTGCGTCGTAAATGGTTTTGTTCTGCTGCCTGCCGTGTGCTGTGATCGCGATCGCGATCGCCGCTGCGGTAATGGATCATCGACACGGTAATCGCTACGGTAATGGACCGTCGATACGGTGATGGTGATGGATTTGGTCCCTTCCGGTTCCGTTCCGGCCGCTGCAGGTGGATCCCGAAGACGAAGAGGGGGAGGATGGTGGAAGCGACGATGTGGATAGCGACGACGAGCTGCTCGCGGGGCTGGACGCTGATCCGGAGGTACGGAACGTTTGGGGAACATCACCTGGCGACGATGGCGGTGGCGGTGGCGGTGTTTCCTCGTGTTATTTCTAGTTCAGTATGCTTTGTCCTGTCTTTTTTTTTGCTTGTAACGAGGGTTCGTTCCCGTGGAGAGCCTGTGTGTGCTTGCAGGTTGTGGATATCGGCCTCCATACTCCTGACTGCCCCTCCCCTCCCCCAAACAAGGACAACTAGCAGCGCACGCATCCTTTGGTGTGCTGTATTTGTAGCGTGGCTCACTGCGACTGCTGTCACGATTCGTTCTTGTGCCTTTGATGGAGAGTCGCATATGCTTGTCTTTTGTCCACCAACAAAGATTACGCAGACGAACATGCTGAACCTGTACGCGGCTATACCCGCGGTAGCAGGAAGGGCATGTATTTCCACCGCAACCCTGAAGCAGAGCAAAAAGACAAATCTTTTGGAGCGATATGCTAACTTTCTTACGTCTCCCCACCCTACAGACTCGCGCAGGCCCGTTGTATCCCTTTGGCCCAGCTACAACGGTGTGCTTGCTGCGTATCGAATGCTGCTGTTTTGGTCGTACTTCCGCCGTTCATCCAGCCACGCAATCGTGTTCGGTGGTACATGCGTTGAATGTTTTTGGGTTCGTGGTGCTCTCGTCCCTCCTCTTGGCGCATGGATTGTCCAAGGCCATCATTTTCGCGCTTGTTGCTCCCCCCACCCCCAACCAACCAAGCTGTCATGCGTTGAAGATTGCGTGCCTTGGGCTTGTTTTGTCGAGGCGACATCGCCCCCCCCCCCCCCCCCCCCCCCCCCCCCCCCCCCCCCCCCCCCCCCCCCCCCCCCCCCCCCCCCCCCCCCCCCCCCCCCCCCCCCCCCCCCCCCNCCCCCCCCCCCCCCCCCCCCCCCGCCCCCACGCATGGCATCATATCATGTCGTGTATTTGCGATGATGTTTCTTTAGCCTGCTGACGCGCCATTGTTTTGTGTTGTCGGCTCCTTCTGGGCGTGCTTGTCCTCTGCTTCTCTTCTCCTCGTGTGCACTCGTCGGCACATCTTGAACGGCCGTGTGCTTTGTGGTGGTGACAAGATTTGCCGCATCCGCGAGAGCCGCCTGCGCGAGATGAAGCGAGTGCACGAGGCGCGAGCGGAGAATATCGCCAAGGGCCACGGCCAGGTGTGTGCTACGTGCTGCTGCCGCTGCCGCTGTCGA